AATGAACTCTCAGACCAGCAGCAGCAGACTGATCACCAGTGTTTGAGCAGCATTGGTCAAAACAGCTTCATAATTTGCCTGCTCCGTAGCTGATTATTTTTCGATTGCATTTTTTTAAATCCTTGAAGAAAAAAACAAATTTTAATGACAATGCTGTGTTTCTTCGGGAAAGGCTGGCGCATTGTTCAAAATCATAAGTTGTTCCTGAATTACATTTTACCAGAAAAGTCGGGGATCAGAAAAAAAAATCTAAAGAATCAAAATGTAAAATACGTAGTGAAAGTTGAGGCAGAAATCAAAAAAAAGTGAATATTGCAGGAAGAATCAAGGATCAAAAATATGAATCCCAAATCATTCGCTTATTTACGCTCAAATAGGACTGAAAAAGGACCGGGCAAAGCGATTTTTGGACAGCTGCCAAAGCAGCATCAACCCATAGCTGCTTCTGAATCTTTGCTATTTCGGGCTGAAGCGATAGTAGCAGCTAACACCAGTGCATTACATCGTTTCAACAACTGTTCAGAACTGGATGTCGGTGGACGAAAAGTGCAACGGCAAGTGGACGATGGAAGGAAGAGCAGAGTGATAATACAGCGAACCAATGGTCACTTAGGCCCACGTACGATTATATTCACTCGTCTTTGGCCCCAGTAGTCATTCTTATTGTTCCATTGCAAATTTCCTGCAGGTTTGTATGAGTGTGATAAGAATTTATAAATTATGCATCTGTATGCAAGAACCACATGTACAGACAGGATTATGCTTTGAACATCTGGTAAATTTATCGGGGTGCAAAACTAGCCGATCGTGAAAGTAATAACATACAGACATCTGTATCTTTTCTAAATTACTTTTTAGCAGCACATGTATTTTATTTTATTAATTATTGGGTAGTTTTTGAGTTTTCAGTCAGTAAGTCCTTGATGAGCAGCGAAATTCCTTTTTGTTTATTATTTTTGTGCGGTTTCTTGCATCTATGCAATGCAAAAACACATGTTGTCGAAGGGCTGTTTTTTTTACCAGAATTTTCTCACGCATCTTATTTCTGTTTTATTAAAAGCTTTTGAACGGCTATATGGAATTATAATTCTCTTCATTTGTTATAAGAGAAATCTCCACAATAGGACTAGAGAAGATGATTGCCAGTTGCATCAGCAGCAAGAAGGAAAGAGACGAAAGTAAATGTCCAGTTATCGGAATA